CACTCAGTTTAAGTGTTTGCTTACTACATTTGTTACCAGTAAGTGCCTAGTAGTTACCTGGACTTTGATGTCATTCATGCTTTTTTCTCCCAATAAGTATCAAGCTTTAGCCAAGTTAAATTTTAAATAGCTCTCAATCTTTTACATTTCAAACTTTGTTTCCCTTGAATCATTTCATCTTCTCTCCCCATCACACAAGGAGGTCCTTTAAAGTGCCATGTATATTTCCTTCCATGGTTCCATACCTGTCATTCCCACCACAGTACCTAGCTGAAGCCCACTGTCTCCAGCTTCAGAAGAAATGCCCTCTTCTTTTTTCTTTTTCTTTTCTTTTTTTGTTTTTTTTTTTTTTTTTTGTGGAACCAAGGATTGAACTCTGGCCCTTGAATTTGCCAGGGAAGCACTTATTCCACTGAGCCATCTCCCGGCCCCCCCTTTATTTTTTGCCCTCTTCTAGATGAGTTCCCTGGGTGTTGCGTTACCTTAGCATCCTTTGCACACCTTACTGAAATAGCTCTTTAGTCATCTTTCTCTGTTGCTCAACTGTAAACTGTAGGAAGGTAGACTCAGATAAGTCTGCTTCACCACTGTATATTTAAGTACTACCAGATCTATCCTTTGCACTCTGTTAGTTAAAAGATGGATATTTAGCAAACTGAAAAACAAAGATGGTGGTCATGGATCCCCATATTTTGAAAGTGACATGATGAAGCACCATGGCACTGAGTGTCGTCATTGTCCCTTTGGGTTGGCCCAAGCACAGCAGAAGGTAATGAGTGCAGGCTTTTACTCACTTGAGGCACCGATCTTGCATAGCTGTGATCTCTTGCAGGATGGGAGGCTCTTCTCCATGGATAAGGGCTCCCTCCTGCAGTATACTCAGTGCACGCTGCTGCAGCATGCCCAAGGCCAGCTGCTGCTGGTCCAGCTCCAGCACACATGTGTCATGGTATTCAAGAAGGGCCAATAGTTCTGCTTTGGAGGCCTTTTCTGCTGAACTACCAGGTAACTTATCTTGCAGCTGATCAATGACTTCAGTGGCTTTTTTAACCTAATGCGAAATAAACACATTATAAAGCTCAAAAATCAACTGTAAAAGTAGAAAAAATCTAGTACTAGCAAATCCCATACTTAATACCATGCTTTAAAGAGAGTAATATATATGAATGGCAATGAATTACACATCTCTGACAAAAGTAAACAAAAAAGAGGGATATAAATGAAAGAACATCTTTTTCCCCCATAATTTTATTGAGAAACAAATAGCAATGAGACAGTTTCAAACCAAATTGATAGGCCAGTTTCAATAATTAACACATTGCATACATTCTTCCTGGTGTTTAATTGCTGTACAAGATGCAGACATGATATCCTATTTACAAAC